GATATTTTGTCAACTTAGCGGTTAATGTTGCATTGAAACTTGCATTAGGTGAATGTGATTTACTTGAATGATAATATTTGCTTCAAGTTCTTGAAGAAGCATGTTGAAAAGAGAATAGCATTATTCATGATCATGGCTGAAAATTTTAAATAATGATTTTAACAGTGCATTTATTATTGGGACGTATCATAAATTTGAAGAAATGTCATATGTGCAGTATTCTTGATTGCAGCAAAGATTGAAGTGATGATTTTAATACTCTTATCATTTGGGAGGCATTTTAACATAGAATTAACATATCTGGCAAGGTAACTCACCTCTCTGATCTCCTTATTCCTTGACCATATTTGATGGTGATAACAGTTTTATTGTGGAATTTCTTAAAAGTTTGTGGTGTGGTTTTTTTGAGTTTACTGGTGCAGTGGTGTGCAGCCCTTGTTTTAGAGAAAGACATAATGAAATTATGTGAAGTTAATAAAAGTTCTGATATCTGAATTACCATTTTTTAAAAATTAGTTGAGATTCATTGTATTCCAAAAAAAAAAATAATAATAATAATAAAAAAAAAAAAAAAAATGAATTCATGAAAAGAGATAAAAACATGGTTGTACATCCCTGACCCAAAAACTATGTTACTCACCTAACCCTAGCTGATAGGTAATGTATGACTTAAGTGCTTTAAATGATTGTGCCGGCTGAACTTCTATGTTGCATTGATGTTAGTGCTGTAAGAGATTATCTTGAAACCAACAGTGTTTGCACTTGAACAAGCACTTGTTGTTCTCAGTACATAAGTGAACTGCTTGTGGTGGAGTCATAAAAAAGACACTGAACTATGCTGAAGGTAGAAGTTTGGCTGAGCTGCAAGTTGCGTTTGGGCAGTGGCACTAACATGTGTGGTTCCTTCCTCACAGTACCTGGAGACGGATGTTTTGCCTCAGGTAACATGGACAGCATGTATCATAACCCATAGGAATGATTGCTATCATAACGTGAATATTTGCTTCTTAATCTTGGTGGTGACTTATGAACTGCAATTTTTTTTTTTTTTTCTAATTAATTATTTTTTTCTTTCTTTCTTTCTCTCTCTCTTTTTTTTATTATAATGTAGTGCATGTGAACTTCTTTTTTGGAAGTAACATCTGATTATCTGTTTCTCTCTCCTTATCTGATTCATTTCTTTTTGAGAAGATATGATTTTCAGTTTGTTAACTTCTTGTGAAGTGAATTTGATTTACTAACATGCATGGTAAGAGTGCATGGAGCCTTCCAGCAGCAGCATGTGACTGTGTGGACCAGATGCTGTGTTGATCCAGTGCCTCCTTTATGATTTAGAGTGAGCTCAGCTCCCTTTTCAATTGATTTGGTGATTCTGCATGTTCATTTATTATTGATTGCTGGCAGAATACTTCCAGGAGTGAGAAATGTTCAATGTTAGATCATGTCCCTCCCTCCTCCTTCCTTCTTCCTTCATCCTCCATGCTCCTCCCTCTTTTCTCCCTCCTTTTCCTCCCCCCTCTCTTCTCCTCCTTCCTTTCTACTCCCTCTTGCCTCCTCCTTTTCCTCCCCCCTCCCTTCTCCTCTCTCCTCCCATCCTCCTCCTTCTCCTTTTCCTCTTTCCTCACTCCTTTTCTCCCTCCTTTTCCTCCCCCCTCCCTTCTCCAACTTCCTTTCTATTCCCTCTTTCCTCCTCCTTTTCCTCCCCCTCCCCTTCTCCTCCCTCCTTTTTCCTCTCTCCTCCCATCTTCCTCCTTCTCCTTTTCCTCTTTCCTCCCTCCTTTTCTCCTTCCTTTCCTCCCCCCACCCTTCTCCTCCTTCCTTTCTACTCCCTCTTTCCTCCTCCTTTTCCTCCCCCTTCCCTTCTCCTCCTTCCTTTCTCCTCTCTCCTCCCATCCTCCTCCTCCTCCTTTTCCTCCTCCTCCTTTTCCTCCTCCTCCTCCTCTTCCTCCTCCTCCTCCTCCTCCTCCTCCTCCTCCTCCTCCTCCTCCTCCTCCTCCTCCTCCTCCTCCTCCTCCTCCTCCTCCTCCTCCTCCTCCTCCTTTCCCTTAGCATCTGCTTCTCCTTCCTAATTCCCTTCTTCCCCTTCCTAATTCCCTCCTCCTCCCTTTCTCCTTCCCCCTGCCCCCATTAACTCTTTCCCTGGTCCCCCTTTCCCATTTTCTCCCTCCCTTTTGTCTGCATTATTGTCATTCTACCAGAAATTGCTTCAGGACCTGTGTTCAGATCTGAATTATAGTCAGTGCATAAGATTTGCCCAAAGAATAGATACATTTTGTAGCAGCTCCCTGTGTAGATATTCTGCCCTCGTGTATTTTTCATTTTTCAGATTGATGATTTTCAAAACTTTTTATTGGTTCTGTTTTTGTTCGGAAATTCAACTCTGTTAGAAAACTTTTCCATTATGATTATGATTTTCTTGTTATTACATTCATCTATATTATGCACAGTTCTTTTTTTTTTATATTGATATAAGTTTTGTAGAATTATTTTGTTTTGACCACATTTTGAAGCTTTTTGTAATCACAAGTTTGAAATATTTTTGTGAATATATTTGTGATATGCATTTGACCAATATGATTTTGAGTACTAGCAGCATTGAGTATTATATATGTTAATTTTGAAGTTATTGTTGCTATTATTCTCATTATTATTATATTTGTCTCTATTTTTTTCATATTATTTCTTATTATTACTGTTACTCTTGCCACTGTGCATTGATTACTCACAAAGCATCTGACTTCCAGCTGCCTAATGTTGAATCAAAATTGGATGAAGTCAAATCACTCATAGAAAACGACATCGAAATAGCGGTGAAGCGAGGCAAGAGAGCCTTCGACTCCATTGCAACCGAGATCCAAAATAAGGTGCAGCGTTCTATCCCGGAGATCAAGGCCAAGATCCTCGATGCAGGTGAGACTGTGTGTGTTTAAGTGGGTATAGGATTAGTTCGTTCATATGAGTGTTTATTGCGTAGACCCTCCATCATAGAATTAAAGGTTGATTTGGCTTTCTCTTGCTTTGTGCATTATCTAAGTATGTTTTTATTAGTTGTACCACAGGTAAAAGATCATGGCATTGTTTAGTCTATAATCTATCATTTAGCATTTGACAGATCTTGATGGTACTTCATAAACAATAGTGTTCATTTATTGTTGCTGAATTTTCTCTTTATTTATTGATTTGTATGTTTGCAATTGAGGTTTATCTGACTTGTATTTATGCTTGTGTTTTAGCCTACCTAGTTTGACAGGAGGAATTCCCGTACTAAATATTGATATTGATATATGATATTTATTACATGTTCTGTATAGTAACATAATGTGAAATCTCATAGGAGGTGAACTGGAGGATGCAGCAGAGAGCATCCATAGAACGTTACAGCGTGTTGACACAAAACCAAAAGAAACGGAAACATATATAAGATTGCTGCAGGATGGGATCAATGAGTATGCTATGTATAGGTGAGTATTTCCTTTTTATTTAAGTGAATTACATGAAAATGAAATTTTTATATTGCATGTTATTACTATATTTCCTAGTATATAAGTTACACCTAACATTTTTTATATGATGATATACAATTCTTTGACAAGAGAATGAAAGACCACATTCTTGACTAGAAGAAATGGAAATATCTCAGTTTAATGATTTTTTGAAAGGACATTTTAGCATTACTTCTTTAACACCTTATGATCATAAAAATGTGTAAAACAAATGACTAAAGTTGAAAATTGTCAAACATATCAGAATGGTGATATCCCCTTCTTATGGGAAAAAAATATTAAAATCACTCCTGTATTGCAGTTACCTGGTGCCAAAGGGTAAACAAATAACATCACACGATGTATTCACTTTTATGCTCTCAGTGTTGCATTGCCAGATACCTTGATTAGAATTTACACATGAAGGTATAATTTGTATTGGCTATTGGGATTAGAAAAATAAAACTTCTTCCTAGAAAATCTTGTAAGTAAATTGTTCGTCACATATATATATATATATGATAAGAAAGGTAATTAAACCATTGTAAATATTTTAACTTCCATTGTTTCAGGTATTGGGGCTTCATGGGGCTCTGTATATTACTTTTGGTGATCACCCTCTGCTTCACACTGGGCGTGGTGTTTGGATGCTGCGGACGGCGACCCGATGAGGCCTCATCTTGCCATAAAGCAACTGGGGCATCATGGCTCATGTGGTGAGTACAGTCAAGTGGAATTATCTTGCAGAAGAGTCCTTGTTTTATTATTATGGGGTTTAATTCTTAGATTTGGCATATTTAATTGGTCAGCTGGTAAATTCGTATTTTGTTTGCAGTGGTGTTGGTCTGACATTCCTGTTCTCGGCCCTAATCATGGCAGCAACCACAGCGCTTTTTGTGCTGGGCAGCATAAGTGAGATCCTTGTGTGTGACCCCCTCGCTGATCCTACGCACTCTGAAGTCTTTAATGCTGCTGCAGAATTGTACAACCTTAACAGCCATTATCCTCCTGGTCAAGCCCCAAGCATAACTGAGATTATCAGGTGATTCATTCATATTTCATCTTACAGGAATAAGTACATTTTAGACATCCATTCTTCACTCGTTTGTTATGGGAAAGTCTGTTGCCACATAGTCACTTGTTCATGTCTTCAGGATTTTCAGGAATTAAATGATTATTTTCAGATATATATGTAAGTGTTCATAAGTATTGATTGTAGTTTAGTTCATAATGCTTCCCCCTTTACAGCAAGTGCCACAACAACCAGAGTCTGTACTCTGTGTTGAGTCTGAATCATGTTGACAGTAACCTCGCCCGACTTCAAGATTATAAGAAGAACCTGAATCTTGATGAGAAGGTATGGCATTTCTCAAAAAGAAAAAGAAAAAAAAAAAAGATGTTTATACATAGAAGAATCATGTTTGCAACATAGAATAATCCTTTTAATTTGATTTTCTTTTTCTTATAAGAAGTTCATATCTTTTATGATGGCATTTTTTGCAAAACCATGAACAATTGCCTCATAAAAAAGTGAGAGAGACTGAGATTGATTAATTGATTGATTGACCGACTCCTAAAATGAATAATAGTCTCAAACAGAATTAGTACATTTAGCTAGATTTTCTCACAATGTGTCTGCTTTCCATTCAAAGGAAATACTCATATAATATGACTGAAGTTCTGTCAAAAAAATATCCAGTACTGATGGCAACCTTCCCTCTTTCAGATCGAACAGCTGATGCTTCAAATCACCGTGGACACCGACGTGGAGATCCTCTCCCGAAACGCCAAGGAACGTCTGTGGGAACTTGCCAACTCCTCTGTTGCTGACAAGGATACCTGGGACTATTACACTGAGATTGTAAGTTCAGTAGTTTATCTGGTCATAGATATTTTTTAATGTTATAGAGATTTTACAGATTTTTTTTCTAATCTTTTTGAGTATCAGTGGAAGTGTTGCTTTTCTAGAGAGAGATTTGATGTTAAGTATTTATCTTCTTGTTATTCCATACAGCTTGAAAAGAGGGTGTTGAAGATTGACCTGATGGACCTAGCAGCTCTGCTTAACCAGACCGCTGATCAGCTTCCAACTGGCTATGATCAGGTTTCATTCAAACTCAAAAATGATGCTCTTTTCCTTGAGGTAATACATTTTTTTTCTGGTTTTCTTGTGTTTATAAGATTGTAAAGTCTGGGAACATGAGATTCTAGCATTTCATTCATATTTTTAATCATTTGTGTGTAGTCTGACTTTTTGAATTTTTTTTTTCTTGGAAGGGTCTGCAACGATGGGTTTCCTCCATTGGTCACCTAACAAGGAACCTGAACAAGACAACAGCCAGACTCAATGAACACCTGAAGTTCAATAAGACCAGCCTGCGTGAGGCCATTGGCGATCTCATCAGCCAGGCAGAGTTTGCTCAGCAGTACCTTCGCATCAACGGTTCACGAGAGGTCACCGAGGTTAGCTTAGTGTCTGATCCTGTGAATTTCCCTCCTCTGAACACTGTATTTCTTTGTATTACAGAGTACATGATGCTTGTTAATGAGAGTGAAGAAGTTCTTTGCTGACTGACGTTGCCAAGTAAAACTTTTAATGACTTCTTGTGCCATTTTAGTGTAGTGAGTAGATTACAGTCTTCCTAATTTTCTTTGTGCAGCTTGTCGAACGATTTTCCAAGGATTTCCTTGCTGACGTGGATGAATATGTTCTGCATGTGGAAACCGCAGTGGAGAAAGATGTTGGGCGATGTGGCCCAGTCTCTACTGTCTATAATGCGACGACTTCATCCCTGTGCAAGGACATCATGTATCCCTTTGTAAGGACTAATCTTGTATTTTTGTAACCTGATGGTTTCCTAGGTTACTTAAGGAAAAATGAGCTATGGGTGGTCCCAGAAGAATATGAGTATATAATGCTTCTATGTGACTGACTGCTGTTGGGGAGTGTGGCCATTTCATACAAAGGACATAAAATTAACTTTCTTGTTTCAAGTCAGAAGATTTGTCTTGATGACAGGTTATTACAGATTATACTGACTTGATGTAATTCCCACAGAATGGATTCTGGGCAAGTGTTGGATGGGTGTTCATATTCTTCATCCCGGCAATGATTCTCGCTGTGTATCTATCATCATTGTACCGCAAGACCGAACCATACCCTGGACCTCTCAATGAGTCGTAAGTAGTATTTAGACTGTAGTCTGATGTTTTGTGTTAGTACTTGTGGTTTGTTGCTTGAAGAGCATTAAGTTCTTCTACAGCATCCTTGTTGTTGACTGAGAACAATCTAACTCTGGGTTATGATCAAAACTAAGGCATACTAACATTCAAGGGGAACTCTTATTAAAAGTCCCAAGAATTAGATTAGAGTAAAAATGACTGAGAGTTTAGATAGCTGACTCTTTGATGGCAAATGCTACCATATATTGCCTTAAAAAAAATCCTCATCCAGTCCCTTTAAAAAATAATACTAATTTATGGAATGTGAAGCTACCCTTCCATTTGATATAAAACTAAACTGACTTACATTTTCCTATAAATTAAAATTCAGACATCATGGCTTGTTTAAAAGCTGTGATATGTAATAAACTGGACAGTTAAATCTTCCAATCAGGATTACTAACTGGTAAAGAGTTGATTTCATATTTAGCCAGTTTAAAGTAATTAAATGCTATTAAGAGACCACTAAATTTACTTGCAAATGTAAGTTATACAGTCTTCTCATTTGTGCTGGGCAGCACATGTTTAACAGTTGCAAATGGCATTTGCTATATCTGTAGTAGTTTACTAGGAGAGAAAAATATGGTTATCATTATTTTGGTTGTATAAATAGTAGTTTTTTGTTATATGTTTTATATATTTCTTTAGAAAAGTTGATTTGTACAGCTTAGTTATGAAGAAGTGCTTCTAGATTACTTGATTATGTAGGATGGCTCATTATAAAGCCAATTAGCTGATATGAGAATTTAGTCATTAGGAGAGGAGGTGGACAGACTTAGCTTCATTATTTAAAAGGAAGAATATCTCTTTGTGCAAGTTTGAGAAATAAGGTAAAATGAAATAAAGGTATTGCGTAGGTACATATCCCCCCAATAGGATATTGTTTATACCCAGTTCAGTAAGGAGTGTTTGTTATTTCTGTACCGAACAGGTAATATATTAGACAAGTTGCTTTTGAAATAGTTATGAAAATGCAAATATGGGAGAAGAGTACCTGAAATGTAAAAGTCAGTGTATGTTAGTTCCTCCCCTTCCCCTTTTTCCCCTATTTAAAGTACTTATTGGAATTTTTAAGGCATATTTAGATAACCAGTACTACAGAAGCTTAACTTTAAAAGCAGTAAATTTCACTTCATCCTATCGTCCTCATTTGCTGTAACTATAAATGGAGAGGTTTTGATTAATCCATATGATTACTTGAAAGGAAAGAAAAGAAAAGAAAAAAATCCCAGTGTTTTCAGATTTTGGCTGATACATAGAGACTTACATTCTGTTGCTTTAGAAGTGTGGAGATGTTTAGCAGAACTAACCTGTTTTTTTGCATGTACGCAAGGAAAGTATCAGTAACTGAAGGATTCCCATTTCTGCGAATGTTCATGCTTGTCCAACTCCCTTGAATTACGGGTTCAACTCCCAGCCGTCTGTTTGCGCTCCCTCGCAGAGCCAACTCGCTCCTCCTTCAAGGCCAACCTTCCCAGGCGACACGTACTTGTAACCCCTCCTCCTCCCCCATGGTCCCCTGCCAAGACAGATGTGTTTCAGTTTTGTTATTCTGGTCCCCTCCCCTGCCCACCCCTTCCCGCCCCTACCCCCCTCCTTGCCTTGTGCATGACAGGAGTTTTGCTGTGAGTTATGAGTGACAAAGAAGGCATAGCAACATATCTTTATATTTCATTTTTTATTTTTTCCCCCATTTAGGTTTAGACATCCCCAAGTTACTCTGTTCTTGTCCCCCTTACGCAATGCGTTGTGAACATGAGACTTCGCAAGGAATTGCTTTGCCTCCTTGAGATTCGTTGAGTTCTATCAACCTTTTGGAGTTTCTTAAGGCCTTGTTGGTGTGGTGGCTGATGATGATGCAGTTAAAATTATCATTTTGTTACTATTTTTTATCAATGTTGTAGGAAGTAGGTATTGGCAGAGTTCACAATTTATTCACAAAGACTTTTGCTTTGATGTAAGGCTAGAAAATTAACTTCAAATATCTACTTGACAGCGAATACTTGTATGATGCATATGATGAGAGGAACAGCTTTCCTATGTCCAAGTGAGTACTACATGTAAAGATGCACAATAGGAACTAATATATGTTGTCTGTTGTACCTACTAGAGTCTGTTGTCTGGAATGTAGGTAGCCTCATAGAACACAGTCTCAACACAGTGTTTGATTTCTGTGCTCTCTTTAGATTGTCTTTTATAATATTTAAATAGCATCATGGCTTTATGTAATTTGAATAGTATGTTATGGGGCCCATGATTAAAACCCCGTTTTGATTAATTGTAATTTTTTGGTATGAAATATTTTAACAAAGATTAGTTTTACTTATATTATAACTTTTGGAACATTCAGGAGGAAAACCAAAGCTTCTTACAAGTCTTACAAGAATCTTGTAGTAAGAGTATTCATAGACAATTTGCCGCACAGTTGTGTTTCACAAGTAATAAGTGTAGCACTCAAGCAACTTCCTTAGCTTTATGCAACTCCAAAGTATAGAAATCTTTTGAATAGTCTGTTGCTTTGTGCCAAGGCTCAAGCCATATGCGAGGAATGGGCTGCCAAGAAGATAGAAGCAAGATAAAGTAGAGGTGCTCTGTTGACATTGTGTAACTGAGGCTCTTAATTTTCTTGTTACTCTTAGGTGGTGTTGGTGAAGAAGCTGGTGAAGGAGTCGAGCATAGACTTTAATTTTTTTTATTATTGGTATTATCATTATTATTATTATTATTATTATTATTATTATTATTATTATTATTACTCCCTCCTTAAATGGTTGTGGTTGTCAAGTACCTTTATTTACTGGTAGTTAGCATGGGGTGAATGCTTCTGTTAATAGGGTATACACTCTTCCGCCAGCCAAGAGTCCATGTATGACGCCTATGCTGAGAGGGACAACATTCCCCTCACCACGTAAGTAAAGTAGTGTGTGATTTGCATGTGCTCACGGAAAATCCGCTCCCCCTCCCCCTCCCCTGTACTAACATCCCCCTCCCCCAAGAATAACGTTAAGCAAACTAACCTTGCTCAGTCCCGCCCGCCGCCCGCCCAACGTTGCTGCAGATCTTATATGCTTTCCTCCGGAACCCTTTTAGCCTGCTCTGAACAAGAATAAAGTCTCGTAAAAATGTCCCTGTTTTTGGGACAGTTCTCTCTGGATATTTTGAATGCTGTCTTAAAAAGAAAGAAAAGGAAAATAGCTCTCGTTTGTGTTTAAATGAATGTTGCAGTTGTCATCTTCAAAGTGGTTTTAAGCCAGTAACAATTTTTTTTTTCCATTTGATGAATGTGAGTGAAGTAA